ATATATACATATACATATATACATATATGTATATATATATATATATATATATATATATATATATATATATATATATATATATATATATATATATATATATATATATATATATATATATTTAAAATGTTCTCCAGTGTGTATTTCATAATTTCCAGACCGCGCACAAGCAGAAAGATATTGCCTGCTGCGGCTGGGTCTTGAACCCGCGACTGTTGCATACAATGCAACCTGTTTAGAACTTAATTTAATTGTACTGTGTAAATCAAGCCCGCACCTCGTCTGCGTTGTCGCAGGTAAGTTGTGTGCTTAATTTACACAGTACAACTCAAGTTGTAAGCAGGTTGCATGGACAGTTTTAGGCAAAAGTTGTGTAGTGGAAATCGGCTTACGGAGATATTAGATTCAAATGCGCAAAGCATACATAGCAGATGAATATATATATTTATTTGAATTGTAATAAAATGTTCCTGACCACTAATATATATATATATATATATATATATATATATACATCCCAACTGTCCGAAACAATTAGAAACTTTTCCTACCTCGATATCTTTCTTAAACTGTGCATGAGAATATTCTTGCAGCTGTCAAACGAACTGAGGTTGTGGCGATATTTAAAACAAGAATCAAAAGTTGAAGTTTACACCTATGCAAGGTGGACACCAGCTGGTAAATTAAATTTAAAATTGTTTTAAATTCGAATATTGTTGGCGCCTCGCACAATCTCATTCTATTTTAAGAATTCGTCCGTGCTGGGGGGGGGGGGGCTGGGGGAGGTTTAAAAAAGGGACCATACTATCCTGAGTGTGGAGAGATGACAGAAGGGTGTTGGTGACAAAAAGTTTAGTGTGGGGTCGTATGTAATAATAATATTTTTCCACCCCTAAAGCTGCATTTCGTGCGTTTTCTGAAACAGATTTTTGGATATACAGCGTTACATTATGCTGTAGATAGACTGAATTTTCAGTTAAGTACTTACATGGTATATGTTTATGTAAATACCACAACTCCATCGCTAATTTGTTTAGCCTAGCATTTATTTATTATTTATTTATTTATTAGCTTCGCCATATTACAATACACAAAACTGTAACAAGAACAAGGGTAATATACATGATTATAGGCAGGGTGACCGCAACAGCGTGAGCCAATTACTGCGGGCCCGAAAACAACTCAAATCAACTCAACAACTCAAATCTATAGGGTCTGGGATATGCCATCCACTCCAAAATTTTAAAAATCTAAGGTATTTCCAACACAATGTTTAGCATTTTTAAAAGACATTGAATCATCTGAAGATAAAAGAAAGGACATATAAGATTCAGGAAGTAAATTTCAGTTACTATAGAATATCAAACCTCCTTCTAAATTCCATTTTTCTTCCAATGTTTTGCTTACATTTTAGAGAAAAGGGACTTTGATTGGGGGGAGGGGGCAAAACGGTTGAGTGGAAAGAGGGGAGGGCACCATGGGGACTGAGAAAACTTTAACCCTACCCCAGTTATGTAGTTAAAAAAGGCCCTGTTAAGTGCGTGGTTAATCAATTTTTAATAGAAAGCTCCAATATTATCCCAACAACACACTTATGTACTAAGGAACCAAATTGCGCATGCAACTCCAATTAAGGTTTTACAGTGTTAATAAACTGAACCTTTATAATTCGAATTAGCTATAACGTATTGTACAGTGTGTCCCAAAAAAAAGGCTACCCTTTGAAGTCAAGCGCTAGTGCCGCATGTTCGAATTTGAATGCTTTAACTCCCTAATGAGCCCTGGAATGCGTAAAACGTTATAGCAGAGCATTTTTATGCATGCATTGCAAATTAATTGAAATTTGTTCCGCTAAAATAACACAGAATGGAATGCATGAATGTACATGTACAGGTACAGGGTGTCTAAAAAAAACGCAACCTCGGAATTTCCCAAGAAATCGACATGGTTTTAAAGACAAAAGATTTTAGGCGCCTGGGAATTTAAAATAGCACAACTGTTAAAATTATTGCACACGCGAGTGCATAAAGGAAAATTTATGCATTTATTTAATGCACAACAACAGTAATAAGATCTATTAGAAATTCGATTTCAATTCCCAGGGGCTTAAAATCTTTTATGCTTAAGAATTGCACAGTGATTTCTTAGGAAATTCCGAGGTTGCGTTTTTTTTATACACCCTGTATAACGTTTTACGCATTCCAGGGCTCATTAGGGAGTTTAAAGCATTCAAATTCGAACATGCGTCACTAGCGCTTGACTTCAAAGGGTAGCCTTTTGGGGGGGGACACACTGTACGTCATGCATTCCATTCTGTGTTATTTTAGCGGAACAAATTTCAATTAATTTGCAATGCATGCATAAAAATGCTCTGCTATAACGTTTTACGCATTCCAGGGCTCATTAGGGAGTTTAAAGCATTCAAATTCGAACATGCGTCACTAGCGCTTGACTTCAAAGGGTAGCCTTTTTTGGGGGACACACTGTAGTAATTTGACAGCTCTAATTGCTTTGAATTAATGGTTGGGTAAGAACACAAGGTCTTGTACTCATAGGACAAAACTCTTAAAAACTTTTAAATTTTCTAATTTTTATTTCTTTGAGTTTTGTCCCATGAGTACAAGACCTTGTGTTCTTACCCAACCAATTAATTCAAAGCAATTAGAGCTGTCAAATTACTCTACAATACGTTATAGCTAATTTGAATTTGAAAGGGTTCACTTTTTTTCTGACACACTGCACATTAAAACGGCAGTGTCACCGGCTGCGCATCCGTTCTGCGCATAGATCAACTTGAAAAAGTTGACCCAACTTTTTCAAGTGTATCGAATTTCAATATGGCGTCTGCCCGGTGTCAAGCGAAATTCCTGACCTCTGCGAAATACCTGACCTAGCGTGACGGGTCAGAAATTTCGCGCGTACAGGCGCGAAATACATGACGCTTGCTAAATTCTAAGTCGGCCAAAACTGTTTTTTAGAGTTTAGA